CGTCGCCGCGAGGAAACGGACGGTGCGACGTACGGGCTAGGCGTATTCAGCTTCTCTGTTCGCCACGTACCGTCACCCGTTGAGCGATAAACGGCGACTTTAGCTCGGACAATGACGTTCAATGTAGCGTGACGGGATGATACGTTGCGGGTGCCCGACCGCCCGCCGGGAAGCTCTTGGTTGCTGAACATGGGGACCGCACATCATTACCCACCGTTGTTGACACTAGCTTATAAACGTCGTCATTCGGGCTCGGGGATGTGTGACGGACAGTCAACACGGTGGTGCCACGTCACGACTGGAAGCTAACACTCGATGGGGGTTGGGAGAATCCCCAACCTGCGACCTTGCTTTAATTCGTTAACGAACGACGACTTTAGCTCCTTCTTTTACTGATGGAAGATCACTGCGAGCATGACAAACATTCGCGTTGCAGTTCTATAATTGCTGTCTGCATAATAATTTGTAAATACTTGTTCGTAGAAGCAGAAAACGTGTAGAGATATTCAGTGCATCTCGGTACATGTTTCAGATTTCGCTCGACTGAGAATTTGATGGAGTAACGGGCTCGAAGGTACCGGGACAAGATACAAGAATAGTAGAGACTCGCGGAGCAGCACAAGCGCAGTTGCTCGGGCGTGCACGGGGCGGAATATAAGCTCCGATAAATCCGGCTGCGCAGTTAAAAATTGATGTACTAGTTTCGGAAGTGCATGGGGCCGGCGGTTAAGTCACGTATGTAGTCAACGGTAAACGGAAGCCCATATCAATAAGTATCGGCTGTGTGTATCGGGATCTCTGCGCGCGAACGAGCGGGGGAGGAACTGAGAGGGAGGAAAAGGGGGGGGGAGGATGGCGCGCCGCGTTGTATAGAGAGCTAGTCGATGGGATGGCGGTTCCAAGGCCGGGGGTAAAATAATGGGGGCGGACGCTCGACTCGAAACATTGACGTTGCCCGGCGCGCTTACAAACACACCGACACCAATCGAGCATGGCTCTTCCTACACAAAACCGATGTAGGGGGGCTTCGTTGGCCAGGCGGCCGGTTGGCTTTACAGGGGGGGAGGAGAGGGAGAGAGAGGGAGGAAAGGGGGAGGGAGGGAGGAGAGGGAGGGAGAGAGAGAGAGAGAGAGAGGCGCAGGAATGGAGGTAGGGAAGAGAAGAGAACGGAGGGCAGAGTATCAAGAGAGGTGCGGAGGGAAGAACACGGAGAGGATGAGGGAAATACGCATATATATCCTTGTACAGCGTTCTATGCCATCGATGCGGCTCGTGTTTAACGCCCTTATAAATGTGTAATGCGTATACTTGAAAGTGGGAATGGTCGGGGCGCGGGACGGGAGGGCAGCAGAGGACCGGGTGTAGGACGTACCCGCAACTCGCCGGGGTGGGCCCTCTGCGTATCGATAAACGATCAATCAACTGGTACACCTATGGACGAGGCCACCGAGGGTAAAAGAGGCGGCGGTGGCAGCGGCGGGAAGGCAGAGACGGTCGGAGGAGAAGGAGGAGGAAGTGGTAACGGAGGACGACGTAGGGGTAGCAAGTACAAGGGATGAGAGAACGGTACGATGGTGGGTGAAGATGGGTATGTGAGAGGAAGGATGGAAGGGGTTGAACGGAAACAGCGGCGGTAGGGGCAAAAGACAGAGGAGGCACGAGACGCGGGGTGAGGGTAGCGCGGGGGAAGGTGGCGGCTTGCAGAGTATCGACCCATCGCAGAGGAGAAGGCAGCCAGGGTCGCCTTCGCCGGGTTTTGTTGATGTAGGTGTATACGCTCCGCGTATCTGTCTATCTGGATATCTGCGCGAAGACGTTACGAGACTCAATCTTGCTGTCGCATCGGCGATACGAGAGTTTGAATCGTTTCCATGCTTTAATTCCGTTGAGGCACACCACCCGGGAGTGTTCTGCGATTTCTCGAACGTATATGCGCTATTCAATGTTGACCCTCGGGATTTACCGCTTGTCTGACGTGACTGCAATAGAATATGTCTACGATTTCGCTTTAATCTCCGGAGGTGTACGTACGTCGTGAGTCATTAACAAGAATGTGCGTAGTAAGAAGATTTACAGAACTCCTCGGATCATTAATGTCCCTTTAACTTGAAGCAATCTTCATTTTATGGACTTTCACATTCGCCAGTACGCATTCGAGTCAAGTGTACGTTTCGCCGGAGCATCGAGGAGTAACGAGCTCAATGTCTCCATGTTCCGGCGTGTTTTCCCTCACCCTCCAATGTGTACGTGAGACGACAGGAAAGCGATTAGAGAAGGAACATGGTCATGGAAGGTAGCCGAGTCAAATTATCTGCGACATGCTCGATGTATATTCTAAAGGACATATCGCCATTTCGTATCACTTATGCACCGTTAAACATGTTAACGACCTCGGGCTGCATCGCGTCCTCAGCTTCGGCTTTGTCATCGTATCGCGCGCCGCAAACGACACGTTCAATCGGGGAAGCTCATTTTGAGTATATCGCCGCGCCTACATCTCACCCGTTCCGCGCGTTTCCGCGTCGTTTTAGCAGCATGCACGCCGCTTAACTCGCACAGAGGGGGAACAATGCACCGAGCGTAGCTACGTGGATCTGCCCATTGTGGGGTCAGGTGGGTCGTCGGTCGGCGGAGAGCTCGTTGGCTGGCTCCGCGGGGTGTGGCCACATAACCATAGCCACAACGATTCTCTCCTCTCGGCCTCTCTCCTTCGCCTACTCTCGCCCTCTCCGTGTCTGTCCCAGCTTTTCCTCTCGTCTCGATCGTCGCGCGTTTCACTTGTTCGCCGCAGGAACGTTTCGTCTCGCTCTCGCCAATCGAATCCATGCTCGCGCTGATAACAATAGCGAGCTCTCTCTCTCTCTTTCTCGTTCGTACTATCCTAACGCTTAGCGTTCCCCTTTCTGCCCGAAGCTGGTGCGCGCGCGGCAGTAGGGCTACGCCAGTGCGTGCACGCCATCGGGAGCTACCAAGCAGGCGCATCGTTGGCCTATTACAATGGCCAGCCCTCCTAAACGTTTCATTGTCATCGGCGTTCTCTCTGCCCATGCGTCGATGCGCGCGAACCATTGTTTCTCGTCGAATGGGCGGCTCTCTCGCCAGGCGGACCACCGTCCTCGGATAACGTCGCGCCGTTTCCACGGTGAGGCCAAGCGAGGCGTGAGTTTCTGCGCGATCGGCCACCCATGACCACCAAGTGGTAGAGTATATTAATTGCTTTCATCTAACAAGTGCAATCCCCGCTATCGGAAAGGTATTGCGGTGTCATTAGCGTGACAGATTTGTCGACTCGACTGTACGATCAATTATTGTTACATAAAATTTTCCTTCGCATAACTGCCGATCGTATTCGCACAGCGATCTAGCTTGTCCGTTAAATTTGTGCGTTAAGCTGTCGCTGATGTGGCACACACGTGGCGGTGACGTTCTCTCTTTCTCTCTTTAAGTAATTAATGTATATTTATTATACTACTTTGTACGCGTCTCTGCGATTTGCACGCTTTGCTTTGTCCTTACTACGCGCGACGGTGCGGCAGCCAAAGCTCACTTTTCTCTTTTGCGGTAGTTTATTCTGCTTTTTGCGAACGTAGGATAATCGGGATACATATTTGTCGCATTTAACATCAGAGAAGTGAGATATATCATCGCGTGGCACGAACTTGTTACCACGCTACCGCGTAGCTAGATCTAATAATAAGTTCCGAGGATAGTTTCATCTTCTTCTTTTTTTTTAACCAACATATGCATACCGATTATTTACGCGTGCCATCGAAGTTTTCCTGCTTAGACATTCCCCGCCCGGTGAAAGAACAAGTTCGTTCTGTAACGACAAAAAACAATTATCGTGAAAACTGCATTCATTAATAACGGATAACGTATCGTTGCATCGCGTCACGCAGATATTCAGGTAGAACCGGTCGGACTAACTCGATATGCGAATCTTTCAGATAAGCACGCATCGTCAAGTAAATCAGGCCTTCTCTCGTTACACGCGTATTCTTAATGCAATATCCCGGGACACCGACTACAATCAACTGCGGATCTTACAACCAGCGCTAAAGATAATGATCCCAGCGTCCGATAAGTATTAATAGCGTGAGCTAGTTGCGTCGATGCACGGCTACAAAGCGAAGAGAAGCGTCCTTCCGTTTCTCGTTCCATTATATTAAGTGCTCCACTTGCCGATTCGAAGCTCGATACATTTGATACGCGCGTTGCATTTCGAATCGACTTGATTTTTGACGTTCGCAAAACAACGAGTCCGAGTTCCGGTCGGGATGCGCGGCGCTAAACTGTAATTATCACGAATTCATCTTAAGAAGTGATCACGCATTCTTCTTGCTACATGATATTACCGATGATCTACAGTACATTGAAAATTGTAGTCTTTCGCGGCGCACGATCGCGATCTTCTTGATCCACGTCCAGGGTAATAAATCTGCCTTAATGTTGGGTTACGAGAAACAGTTATCGGAGTCTTGAAATTTATCGGTTCCTTAACAATTTTCCGCTATTATCGTCAACGGTCATTAACAATTCTTACAATAGTAACAATTCGACGGCGATTCTTATAACCCGATATTAGCACGCTACAATAAATTTGGAATACATTGTACCCTCGAAAAAACCATGAATAAGGCACGCAACTGGTTGCCAATGCATTGTACCAAAGTATGATTTCTCTACGCTAATGCTACGTTACGGCGATAGATAATCAGATCTTTGAAATTTATAGTTTGCTTGGTAGTCACAACGTTACTTTCGGCACTCGGTCGCGATTCGTCGGTCATAATTCTAATGACTGTGGAGGCAATTTTTAGCTTGCTCCCCGCATAACGCGTCGCTACGTAAATATTATTTTTAATTGGTTAAACGACGTCAATATCAATATTGCTTTTAATATCGTAACCAAGTTGCACACAAATAAGATTTTTTACCGTTTCCAATAAATGCGCCGTAATAACGGCGATATTTTTTAAATAAAATACTTTTGCAATATTTAATGCATATTCAGTATGGTCGTCCTCTCGTGCCTCTCGACAGCAATTTTCTTGATTTGCTCCCGCAGCATAGGGTAGGGATGAATCGTTCTGGCAAAATCCGCGCGATCCAGGCGATACAGCTCGCAGATCTCAACAGCGACGACGCTGGCCACTCTCCGCTCGTCCGGCATCACCAGCGCGATCTCCCCAAAGTGCGCGCCATCCTCCAAGTGACATACTTCCTTTCCGGAACTCGTATAAATAGCCACCGTACCGGTAGCGATAAAGTACATGCAGTCACCTGGTTGGTTGGCCCGTACAATCACGTCGTTCGTTAAAAATATCTCGGACTTTAGCAGCGCGACGATGCGCGTCAGCAACGAGAGGGGCAGGTTGCTGAAAAACGTTACATTTTCCACGAGTTTGCGGCAGACGTGCATACCGATCTCCTGGCGTATATGCGGGGACAGCGTGTTCAGGATCTCAGTCTCGCAGAAGTATCGATGCTGAAAGCAAAACTCATAGTAGGCTACGATACGGCGCTGAGTCGAGTACGGTAGTTGCCGGTGCTTCATGTACTGCTTGACCTGTGCCATGATGTCTTGATACTTAATTTTAGAGCTGTTGGCGCTCTTGTAGAGTTGGTTCACGCGAGCGATCAGGAGCAAGATAGTCAGGCTCCCTAAGAGCTGTAAGAGGATCACCAGCGTGAGGTCCGCCTCGTTTTTCGGTTTTCTGTGCAGGAAGCCCGACGATAGAAAGACGGAAACGGCACGCAAGAGACTATACAGATACCGTAGACCTCCCGACTCTTCCCAAAGGTTGAATTCGTGTATCCAGGAGTCGTTGCTCGGTCGCTCTGGTAGCTGCATGGACGTCGTCGCTATTGGCACTAGCCAGTACAGGCAAGACTGCCACTGGAACGCTATCATTAGCCAAAGTGGCATTACGCAAACTTCATAGAGGGCTACTGGAACATCGTACGCCTGAGCAATCTTTGTCACGTAAGAATTGAGGGAGAATACGCGGAAGCCGCACATCAGAGATACTAATTCGCGCGTGACTGTATCCTTCCGCCATGCGCTAACAAACGCGATATCAGTTGGAAAGGAGCCCAACAAATCTGGCAAAAAAGTGCCGTATCTTATGTATCTCTTCATTATTTTTTTCGGTTTCATCACGACAACCTGATCCATCTTGTCAAAATATCTGACAACGGATAAAGAGATATTTAATTTTAATACATTTTCTTGTAATAAGAACGTTGGAGCGTACAACGCTCAGAAATTGCGCTCTGCGAAAGTGCGAATACATCAGCGCAATTATATAAATATGTATGGCTTCATTAAACTATATTCACCCTGTCATAAAGTTAACGAGTATGTCCATGCAGCAAAGGCAAAGTAAGACATTTTTGCAAATCGTCCAATGTGACAAACGTTTCCTTATTTCGAAGGCAGCTTGATACGGGACAGTCAACAATAAGCATGTTACCGCTAAAATCATCAGGATATCCCAGGAAAATCTGCGCTGCGAAAGGTCTAGTTTAGAGCAACGTATTTGATTTGATAAGACATACTTGCGTACCAATACATTTTACATGCGCAAGAAGATCGTGCAAGTTTGTCTAGGAGATATACCTAAAGGCGCTGAATGGGTGAAGAATGTGTTTGTAGTTACGCAAATGCTGTCGCTTTTCCGAGATTACGGAAGCGCGGCTGCGCAAATACTTGCGGGCACCTGGATTTTTTTCCGACACCATCAGCAAAGAGCGGGACGCGTCAAACGTTCTTCGGAAGAAATTGCGATCGGGAGGGAAGAGTATATCTTCAGGCTCGGGCTCGACTTGACATTCATGCTCCACACGAAGCATTGTGGAATAAGTGGCGGATTAAGGGCAATGAAAAAAAAAAGTTTTATTTATTAAATGTAATTTCTAATTATAGAAATGTTACGTGTTTAAAACAAGCGCACATCGTTGGCAACGGCGGCATCTCTTCGGGTGAAAGGAAAGCTGCCTGTTCTTCCACGGCTGACTCGTATGAGCGAACGTAGTCGGTAGTAACGTTGCCGGCGGATGATCAAGCTTGTGTTCAGGTCTGCCTCGGGATCTCTCTTTTGATATGACGGTACATGTCACTTTGAAACTGAAGATATATTCGCTTTAATCTGTGAACGGTAAAATAATTCTCGATCTGGTTTGAGATCATTTCTGTTGGAAAGCCTAGCAGAATACTGCTGGTAACACATGATCGATTTTGTCGTTTGCGCCTCTTGTACAGCCTTTTGCTTCGTGAGGACAGCACTTTATTTCTAGCAAATTGATAACAAAAAGTGATTGGAAACATCCGCAATCATGTTCTTTTTTTTTAAATATCCAATATCATGCATTTTTGGTTCTTGTTTGATATAAATTGTTTACATATAAATTATTTCAACTTTTGTTTCACAATTATCTGTTTTACACGATATTCGATATTTCTTCAAATTTATATTTTATAATTTGTAAAATACTTTTGCATGGAATTTTTAAGTTGCCAATTTAACATATATTAATTAATCTCGTTAAGACTTAATAAGAATCCCGAATTGAATTTGGAAGATTGCATTTATTTAAAAGTCTGAACGTACATCGTTGAAAGGATATATTAAATTTCACGTTTGCGATTCGCGCGAACGCGTTTACTAATATGCGTGTCCATCTCGAAATTAATACCATCCAATATACGAAATGCATCATATTTTTCATACGTTCCAGTTCACGGAGACGTGAATAATTGCCGGTATGATTTGCGAGTCGCGTACATCACGGCCAGTGAATTTTGGTGCGGTCAGTTTATTTTTAGTGCAACTGACAGTTGGTTTCCGCGAGATATAAAAATATCGAACTGACTGTACGAATGAAGAAACGCTTTTTCCTAGCCAGTGACAAATGAATGGTACATACGACAGTGTTTCGTTATGTAATGTTGTTATATACGCGAAATATTACACACGCGTATCTCCAATTGTTTTTGCGGAATCGAGATTTTTGTGGCGCGTGTTCGCGAATCCGCCCCCAGCTTGGATTATCATGGTAAAGATGAGAGTACCAACGGAGATCGCGCGGATCGCTTTCAGGATGGATGATCTGTTCACGGTACATTTAAGTAACGCTTTATACAAGTCGGCTTTATGAGGGCTCAGACCTTCGTTGCGTGCACCGCATATAAAGACAACCTTCCGGTATATATTCTACGCGTTGAATTCTCAATGTAACGACGAGATTTTATGGACGATTTTATTCGTTCCCTATACACGAATAAATGTGTGTATCCGTGAATAAACTCAGCCATAACCATGTCTATTCGAGTGAGTAAAAACGATACAGGTACCTTGCCATGCACAGAGAAAATGTTTGACATTTATATCTTTATATTGATGCATACTCTGGGACCAAGAAAGACAGTTAGCCACTCATTTCGGGGCCCACAATTAGCAATCGAATTATTTCGATTGTTCGTAACTCTAATCTTTTACGAATTTTACCCCGCGTAACTAAAAATCGCACTCAGCTATTCTATCTATATCCAAGATTTTTAAGTGATACTAATCAATTCTCTCAATCAGTTCTGTCGATATTCAGTAACGCAAAGATAATTTTCACTCAAGAGACACGAACCGAAATGTTAAGCCGCTTAACTACAAAAAAAACGGTCAAAATTTTTCCCAGAGTAGAGTCACATAGTTGGAAAATTTGTGTTTTGTTTAAAAAATACCGGTTAAAATTTTTATGTTAAATGTTTAACACATTCACGTCTTAATTGAACATATTGCTCTTGTGTTAATTGACCTCAAATGAAAAATTATTAAAATAACTGAAAACAAATGCTAAAACAACACTATGTGTACTTATTTTTTAATCCGGCACAATACGTATGTTCTATTTTATTAGTAACAAAATTGATCTGTTAAAATTTACGGAGTAAAATGTTGATTTTATTCTATATTACATAAGTGAGAATGATTTCAAACCGTCATTTGAATTAGGAATATTCTTAGGATTATCTCTACGAACAATCCGAATAATTGGATTACTAATTGTGGGCCGCAAAATGGGTTGCTGTCTTTTTTCTCAGAGTATGACACGCTCTCATTATTACTGGCGTAACAATGCAAAGGAACATGTTCCAGCATTTTTGGGGTGCGGCATTTCTTACGCAGATCTCGCGGCCGGGTCTGAAGGGGTATCAGGAAGCATTTTATCCCAAGCTCCGGAAAATCTACCGGTTAAGCGGTGTACGCAATTTAAAGTCGCTACTTTTGTCCGTCCCGGGGGAATTAAGGGTCAGACGCGGAGGCAAGTATATCGCCAGGAAGTCGGGTTCTCCGCAGCTTTTTTCCTCTCCTATCCTGGTAATAAATTTTCAAGTCGTCCAGCAACGTCCTGGAACTCAGGAACGATGTTATAGACGGTGCTCGAGAACAAGAAGGGTGGTTACTCAGGGTACGCTCACAACCCTCCGCACATACTAACGTGGATTTACCGAGGCCCATCCTCCACGTAACGACGAGTGACTGCGGAAGAGTCTATATACGCGGTTCTGGAGGAGGGGGGGAGGGGAAGTTATGGGTGGCCTCGTTGCTGTATCAATATCTCGTTAGGGTCTACGACGGAAATAAAAGCGGAATGTTCGTCTTTCTCGGAACTGACCGTGCCAGCAAAATTGTAACGCGTCCTGCGGGCGCCAGTCGCTCGTTACACGCGCAACTTTGAACGTAGCAATGGGTGGCATGTTTAAACGTAGGGGTGGAATTATTGTATCATGTTTTACGAGAACTGCAATCGATCATTGCGATACACAGAAACACGTTACTGTGTATTGGAAAATCGGCTTACTGTATCAATATCAACTAACTGGGAAATGACGGAAGCGTTAAATAGGATCTCTAATGCGCGCATGTATTTGCTAGTTATCCATTGATATTTACGTCCTGCCTCTCATTAGAGGGGAAGATGGATCATTTCAAGTGCGCATAACGAGCTTCGTTTCGCAGTCTCATAATTGCATCGAAATTTCATCGAACCTTATATAAGGTAGAGATTTTCAAATATATATACACATACATATTTGAAATATATACATACATGCATAGAGAGAGAGAGATTCTATTTCTAATTATGCCAATTACATTTATATAAAATATACTGATATTAACATTACATTGCGTTTCATCCCGATACGTATGCTAATGTAGAGGTTTCGCGGATCATTGCACGTGGCTATTGTATTCAATAACGAGCGAATGGTCATGATCGATACTTAGTTATTCAAATAGCCTTGCCAATATTTTGTGGTGCGAAATGGCCATTTTGCGCTATTTAGCTGAATAGCAACCCAATTGTATGCGATCTGCATACAGATATAAAGATTCTGCAGAAATTCCGCACGAGAAGATACAACGAGAAGATACTAAGAGTAAATGTGACGCAAAAAAGTTTACATACGGATATCGTTCTTTTATTTTTGACTCACTCGCAACTCGTTTTTGTTCTTATTAACACGGTGGACCATATTTCAAGGCAATTGCCAGGACTGAGATGTTCCTTTTATATTTTATATTACGACGTAAGGGCGCGAACGAAAGTAATTCTTGCTTCCGCCGCAATGATCAATAAACCATCCCGTCCACGCTACTGAACGACGCTTTATACTTCGATGGATGTAACGCCAGGGAAAGAGGCGGCAACTGGTGGTCGTAAGTACTTACGTACGTGTACGCTCGCCGCCGCGTATATACGCAGTGAGCTGCCAACGATATAGCCAGCGAGACGAAAACACTCGTCTGCAAAGTCTAGTACTGGCGTAAATATACCGAATGGTAAGAGACGTAGCAGCAGTTACCCAAAAGTCATCGCTACCGGTCGCTTATGGAAACACGGCTCCGTAAATATTTTCGAGCACTCTAGGTCTGCCACGCGCGCTATTCAGGATCGAACGGTACACTCTATATTCTTACCTTTTAAATCTATAAAATAATTAGCAGTTGTAGCGCAAATTACACGAATCTAAATTAATCAAGCTTTCATATTGGAACAGCCGGCAATAAGTCACCAGCCTATATGCGTATGCGTTTGCGCTATGCAGCCGTACTCATCATTATTATCTAAACAGCATGGTTGATTAAATTTCGCAAATTAAGATATCACATCGATTTTACGTTTACATGCGATGACAATAGCGGTAATTAAGTAATGCTCAAAATGAACGATTTCTCCCTTTACATTTTTAAGAAAACGAGCGGAGGTATTTTTTATTAAATTATTTTCCCGACAAAACTCGCGCCACTTTTTGCCGTAGTGATAAAGCTGCTGGAGATATAACGCGTAATCTATTATTATAAGCTGGGAAGAGGGAGGAGGCAACTGGTGGCTGTACGTACTTACGCTCGCGTGTTCTCCGCGCGCATCGCGCGCATATACGCGTCGCGGCCTCGGCAAGTTACCAGTGATATAGCTTGCAGCTGAAACAACCGTTTCTACTATCTAACAGTTGGCGTTTGGCCAACCCCTGGTGCCGATGCGCCTCTCTTCACCCGTTATACGAGGATTAGAGTATACTGCGCTACCCTCCTGTACACCATGTAATTTTCTCCTCTCGCGTTCTCTCTGTTCTTTTCTCCCCCCCCTCTCTCTGTCTCTGTCTCTGTCTCGTCCTTTTATTCCGCCTCCCTCTCCTTTTATTCCCCGACATCTCGTGTATTCTACTCTTTATTGTCCGACTGGACCCGCGTGCGGACGTGCCACCGCTCCGCATTTGCATCCCGTTAAACGTCGTAAACTTGTCAAAGCGCGGGCCGTTATGTGCAGGATCGCGAGCCATATTGCAGGCG